TTATTAATAATAATTTTTAATAATAATTAATAAATATATGCTTTAATGGCTTAAAAAATCTTTTATCTCTTTCCATTATTATCCAATTTTTTATTGACATTAAAAAGATTATTCTTTAAAATTAATAAAAGGTCACTTTTCATCAGAAGAAATACTGAAATTTAAATAAATTTTAAAACTGATTAAAATAATTATATGAATGTGATTCAAGAATGGTAGATAAAACTTACAGGGTGATCAGCAGTTCCATTTACAATAAAAATATGTTAATAAACACCTACCCAATTCTGAAACATAACCAAGTTACAGAGAGAAATTTTAAGAGTGAATAAATATAAATTTAATTATTATTTTATAAAAGAGCTTGTCTTGAAAATTGTTGAAACTAATATCTCAAATACCATAGTAGGTGTTAGGCTCAAAGACCAAATGTGCTCATTGAGCAAATAAAACGTCCACAATGCATTGTGGTCACTTCAAATCATCCACGTGTTGTGACTAACTCAAAAAGACCACAAAGTGAAATGAAACCTCAGGAGCTCACAAGTGTTCAGAGTGTCATGAATATGTTTATGTTATCTGAAGAGAAAGCAACGAGAATGAGGGATTTGGTGCAAATGTGACTTGCAAGCTCTGTTTAAGAAAGAACAGCATCAATGCTAAGAGAGAGTGTGCCAAATCCGGCCTAGAGAAACGGGCACATAAAATGATTTCACTATCCAACTCAAAATTTCCTGCAGTTGAAATTGGTTTGAATGTTTTAGTTATGGTGCATGATGTTAATAGGGACGTGCAACTCCCAGAAATGTTTTAGCTGCTGTTATGAGCATTAATCCATCAGGTCTCCATCAGTTAGGAAACAAGGAAGGTCTTCTTGATCGACTTTATGTTCATAATGAATTTACAATTTCTGAGAGTAACTTTATTAACATTCAGGATATACCCTCAACTTCATTAACACTTTGCTCAGCATCAATGTGTGAGAAGCTGGGGGGGTAGAGCATCAAACTCTAAACCCCTTTGATCAGTGACAGGTTGGTAAAACCCACTCACATTGCCACTGGATGGCTTGTTTACAGTCAGAGGTGGAAAATTGTAAAATTTCCCTCTCTTGTCAGGACTGACACCAGTTAAGAAATAATGTGTCTTGCAATTTCCTTGCTCACAGCAGTTTGAATGGGATGGTTAGCGTGGTCATTGATAAGGCATTGGCGATACACGAGTAAGAGCAACCATTTTAAAATAGCAACAAGTTTAATAAAGCTAAAGGTTACAAACATAAATCTAGGTGCAAGGAATACAGTGCTCTGAATGTAGTACAAATCACTAGAGAGCGTTTTTACTATCAAGTGAGCGTTATGTCTACCAAGAACTATTTCTGCCTAAGAGAGAGAGCATACATAAGATCAGTCATATATCATACCTCTATGCAACAGGGGATGTAACCTCAGGCTAATTATCCGGGGAGACGCTTGGGACAACACGTACTCTCTTTACACAATTATAGATAAATCCATAGGAACTTACTCGCATTGGAGGAGATGACCCAAGGTAAAAAGTTAGATCGGGATTATACTACACCAGGTTAAAGTAAACAATAAACAAACGTACCAAGTTCCTAGTACATTTGTTTATTGTTTACTTTAACCCGGTGTAGTATAATTCCAATCTAACATTTTACCTTGGGTCATCTCCTCCAACGCGGAAAAAAAAGTGTGTTACAAATGTTTTCAAACTTGAAAGTTTTTTTCTTCAGGTAACCGACAACTGTTAAGCGACAACTTAAAAGATGATAATTGCATTAACCATAAAGAGGAAATTACCCTGTCAACTGCATGGCAGGTGCTCGTAGACAAGAACTTATGATAATTTACAGCTGGCAGAGGGGCGCATGCCTGAATGACGTCATCAATCCACGTGATAGAATTCTGAATGGTATTCCAATTTGACTTTAATTTGAATTGCATTCGCTTAACAGTTGTCGGTTACCTGAAGAAGAACTTTCAACTTTGAAAACGTTTGTAACGCTTTGTTTTTTTTCCAAGTAGCACACCGGCAACAGGTTCCCAGTACGTTTGTTTATTGTAAAAAGTTAGTTCCTTGATGAATGGGTGCCTAGCCATTATATCCCCATTCAGTGTGGGAATTTGGTCAGGTGATTGTTTGTTTGGCAGAGATGACACGTCAAAGGTGTCATAGTTGGATGATGCAAATCAAACAAAGTCAATTCGACGGTTTGGTATTTCCTTCCGATTGTTTTTAGATTTCCCCTGTGGACTAAGTTAAGTGTCAACTTTCTCATACTTTACAATTGATTGTTTTAACTTATTTTCATTATTATCATGGGTCAAAACAAGGGGGAAAGAACTTGTTGACAGTTACATCAATATTTGACATGCCCATTCTTAAGTGCGTGGGAAATGAGCGGAATTAAGGAAGAGTTTCTAAAATGTGTCTTTTCGTTAAAAATTATATAAAAACAGCCCCCAGGGTTCTCACATGTTAACATCAGGAAGTAAACAAGGATTTATAATATGTCACTGTAAAAGATACTGATGCAAATGTCGTTCAAAGAACATAAAATGCAACTCAGAAATATCACGGTAATAGTTCTTGTAAAAATAAATAACTCTGCAACATTCTTGATTTTCATAAAAAAGACTTATTTACGAGGCATGTCCGGAAAGTAAGTACTGTTTCGTTCTACCACCATTGCAGTGATTTGTTACTATCGCAGTTCAGCGCCTGCGCACATGTGTCTCTGGTTGATTGTCAGTCCAGTGACGCCATTACAATCGGATTGTGTTGTTTTTCCACGTGTTAGTGAACGTTCAAAATGTTTAAGACTGTTGCCGATTCAAGCATGCACTTCACTTCTGCCGACTGTGAACTGCATTCTGTAATACGGTTTTTGAACGCAAAGAATGTTAAGCCAGTTGAAATTCATCGTCAGCTTGTAGAGATTTATGGTGAAAATGTAATGAGTGATGGCATGGTTAGAAAGTGGGTTCGACAATTCAATGCTGAACGTACTGATGTTCATGACGAAGCATGGAGTGGCTGGCCTTCTGTTGTCAATGATGGTTTGGTTGCAAAAGTGAATGAAAAAATTCCTGAAAACAGACGGTTCACAATAAGATTGTTTTGTGATGAGTTTCCACAAATTTCAAATACTGTTTTGCATGAGATTGTTGCAACACCTGATGTTCAGTAGTGGCTGTCTTCACTGGCGGCATCTTTCTTTGAAGAGGGTATAGACAAATTGGTTTCCTGATATGACAAATGTCTGAACAATGATGGTAACTATGTAGAAAAACAGTTTCAGACATGCTCTTTCATGTAAAAATAAATTTTGTTTTGAAAAAAAATTTTTTATGCAAGTTTTTCCAAAACAGTACTTGCTTTCCGGACATGCCTCGTATTAATAAAAGTTCCTGACAAAGTAATTATTTTTAGTAAATTAGTTATTTAAAAATGTTGACATTTTGAGCACCACAACAGATTTTCATGAATAATTAAATGTTGTTGAAAAGTAACCAAGTTACATTTCTGTATGTGGTGAATAAATTTGTTACCTACTTATATAAGATAATTGAAGATAAATGAATCATAATGAAAAAAATTTTTATTTTCTTATCATCACCTTATTATTAGTTAACATCCAGAACTTGTGGTGGCTTTTAACCGTAATAAATCCATCGCACAGTAGTTTTTAACTTTAGCAGCTGATTTTCATGTCATTGTGTAGAGTACATCAAGCACCTACTAGTACATATTTTTCTTTTCTGAACAAGGTGCTGAAGTAGCTAGCTATATCGCACACTTTTTAATTGGACTAACTCTTCTGGAAGGGTGAAATTGAAGTGCAAATGCTGTCAAATATATGTAGATGTAGAATTTTATCGCGCCCTTTCTCCCATTATTAAATATTTGTTCTTTAACATAATTTTAGCTTATCTTATGCGTTATATTCTGCATTCGATTATTTTTATTTAAAATTGTTTGGTAAATATCTGTATTCGCCTGAGGATGACGACAATAAGTTCGTTGAAAGTACTAGCGATAAAAAACGCATGTAACGCTGAACTCAGTGTCTTTGTTTTTGTTATTACTGATAGTATGTATGCGCTCAAATGAAAAATGTCAAATGAGGTATCTTTCGCACTTAAAAGCTTTATCACATTTATTGAACTGTTGTATGGGGATTTCCCTAATTTCAAATTAGATAAGGTTCGCTTTTAATAGTTTTTATTACTGTACATTTCATGTTGTACAAGGGTTTTACCCATTTCTTGAACTGTATTAGAGTGAATCTGTGCTTTAAAAGCACTGTATTATACAGGGATGTTCCCAATTCTCAAACCGTATTAGAGTGAATCCATACTATAGAAGTGCCGTGTTATACGGGGATTACCTGTATTGCTTATTTTGTAATGGAGGTGTGAAATATAAAATCATAAAGGCTACTAGTAAAGTGTTAAAAATAAACTAGGAAAACTCAGGAAGGAACTGGGAAATTTTTTTATGAATTTGGTTTGACATCTTATGATAACATTTGTTGACAAATATTTAAGATTTAGCAAATAAGTTTCAAAATTGATTTTAAATTGTGATATAGTTAAACAAAAAAATATCCAAAAACAATTTTTATTCTGACTTCTGAAGATGGAAAATAACATTTAGCCTGTAAACTGCAAATTATTTTTTTGAGTTATGCTAGATATGTGACTAAAATAACAAAATGACTTCTTGCTTAATAGTCACAATCTAACAATCTCATAGTAAAAAAATTCTTTCACTGATTAAGTTTTATGATTATGGTTAAGTAAGAATTTTGTATATAATTTATTCATAATTTAATTATTATCTCAGATTTACAACTAATGTTAAGAATAGACTATTTAAGGTAGTAATGATGAATAAACAGTTNATTGCTTATTTTGTAATGGAGGTGTGAAATATAAAATCATAAAGGCTACTAGTAAAGTGTTAAAAATAAACTAGGAAAACTCAGGAAGGAACTGGGAAATTTTTTTATGAATTTGGTTTGACATCTTATGATAACATTTGTTGACAAATATTTAAGATTTAGCAAATAAGTTTCAAAATTGATTTTAAATTGTGATATAGTTAAACAAAAAAATATCCAAAAACAATTTTTATTCTGACTTCTGAAGATGGAAAATAACATTTAGCCTGTAAACTGCAAATTATTTTTTTGAGTTATGCTAGATATGTGACTAAAATAACAAAATGACTTCTTGCTTAATAGTCACAATCTAACAATCTCATAGTAAAAAAATTCTTTCACTGATTAAGTTTTATGATTATGGTTAAGTAAGAATTTTGTATATAATTTATTCATAATTTAATTATTATCTCAGATTTACAACTAATGTTAAGAATAGACTATTTAAGGTAGTAATGATGAATAAACAGTTACACATGACTTACTATCAATTTATTAACGTATTAATATTTAATATTTTTATGATGTTTTCCTATATTTTCTTTTCAGAAAATTACAAAAATTTATATTGGAAATTTGCCAGAATCATGTCAGAATAAAGACATGCAGCAACTGTTTGAAAAGTATGGAAAAGTCGAAGAATGTGATGTCATCAAAAACTACGGATTTGTTGTGAGTATTATACTTTCTAAGAATATAATGAAAGTCATTGATATTTATTATTTGGCCATAAAGCTGAATATTTTAAAAATATAAATGTTTTTTTAATAATTACTTTTTATTAATTGTCAAGATATTCTTATCCTCTGAGCATTTTTCTGCATTATCTTCAGATCCATGCTTTACCTTTTGCAAAATGTATGTAATTTTAGATTGCTTGCTTCTAGTTAAAA